CTAATCATTTCTAATCACAAAATGATGAGAATAGCATTCAGTTATCTCAGAGTGGTTGAGAGGGAGGTGGCTTATATGGCAAATATACTACTCCTTGCTTATAGAAGGGGTTCACTAAAGTAAGTAAAGATTTGCCTTTTTCTCTTCCAAATTCTCAGGTGACACAGGTATATTCTGTTTCCTAAAATTTTCACCTTTCTTCAGTAAGCATTCTTATTTCCTGGATGCTGAAAATCATTTCTAAGAAAAATGGTGGCTTTCAATTCACACTTTCATATTTTTGAAAAGAGTTGGTTTTTTTCTTTTCATTTTTGAATAGCTTCTATGAGATTCTTTTCCCTGAAATGGACCTGTATTTAAAGTCATTTTCTTTGCTTATTCATTTAAGAAATACTTATTGAATGGCCATCTACTAGGTTGCAGGAACTGTGCTGAGCTGTGAGGACTCAGTGCAGAATAAGACTGATGGGGTTTCTGTCTTCTGGGGGTTTGGATGTTGGTTGGGGAGGAACAGAAGAGAGAACCAGGGGTGAACAGTAGAGTGTCATGCAATTAAGGATGGGGGAAGGATGGGAGAAAGCAAGGAACTGGGTGTAGCCAGAAGAGTCAGGAAGACTTCTCTAAGAAAGCGACATTGAGATGGAAAAAAGGCAGAGCCTGGAGGGTTGGAGGTTGCACTGGAAGGAGTGCAGTGGGGTTGGAGCATAGGGCACGAGGAGGTGAGCGTGACTGATGCTGGGGAGGCAAGCAGGCTGTAGATGGGGAGGGAGACCTGGTAGAAAGAGCTTAGAGTTTAGGAAGGCTGGAGCGTGGGATGCGGAGTTAGGCAGACTGGGTCTTGATTCTGTCACCCCCTGGCCATGGGATGTTGGCCATGCTACTCAGTGTCTCAGACTCTCAATGTCTGGATCTGAAGCGTGGGTGTAATAATGCCTACTTCATTCTAAAGTATACTAAAGTTTGAGGTTTGTGAAGATGAAATGACTGAGTGCCTGAAAAGTATATAACAGGTAAGATCTTGACGAACGATCATTGGTACTAGCAATCCCAAGAACAATGGAGAGTTACTGGTGCTGTCTGGAGGTGGGATTTATAAGGAGTCCGACTGCAGGCAAGGACGTGAGTTGAGAGGTGTTGAGAGCAGTGTGTGTGAGTCGATGGTGGCTGGAACTACAAAGCTGCAGGGATTGGCCAGATGTTGATGGGGTGGGAAATGAGAAAAAGGATCGTGAGAGACCGAGATAGTTGTTGAGATTTGAAACATAGGAATAGTGATAGATTTGGGGTAAGGATGGTAATGTCCATTCGTATATGTCGAGATTGTTTTTGTTATGAATCATTTGCAGAGCCCAGGCTTCACTTTAGTTCGTTTGGCAGGAAGGGCTTTATCACAGCGTATTCAATGGCTCAGACCTGTCAAGAGGGCTGAGGAATTGAGGTTGAGCTTTAGGAGCAACCTCTCCTAATGCTCCTAGGAACTGGCTGGCTGCGGTGGCCGCTTTCTCTTCAGTAATCTTGCAATCAGGAAGCGGGCCCCTCTAGAACCACAATACTGCTGTCGCCAGCAGGAAACCACTATGGTCAGGAAGGCGCTACTGCTGCTGGCTCTAGAACCAACGTGCCTCTGCAACAGACGGTATCAGCAGGACGGATGCTGCTCCCAGACTTGCCCCAACTGCTAAGCTAGTGTCTGAACACTGGCACCTCTGCAAATGCAGCTGCAGAAAACCCAGACACCTCCACGGCTGTGCTTGCTGGGAGGATGGACAAACATTCCCAAATCCGTCCATCTCAGACCACACGATACTAGAGCCTGACTACAAAGGAATAAGGAAAGTATAATTTTAGCTTTCCAACGTCTAGGGCAGGGGAAAGCACAGTAGAACAGTGTTTTGCAGCCTGCAGGCTATGACTTAAGAGGGCATTATAAAATCAGATTGGGTGGTCACAACAAGATTTTTTTTTCCTTAGTCCTTCTTGGCAACATAGGACAATTCTTACGGTTCATGATGAGAACAACACAAAACAAAGCAAACCAACCCAGAAAGCTCCTGCGCTAGGTGTTGAATGCCAGTCTCCCATTGCAGGCTCTCAGGAGAGAACTGCGGGAAGAGCCCAATGGCTGCCGAGTCTGTGGGGCTGGATTTTAGGAGAAAGTCAAAGCTGGAGATACATTTTGCAGGTATTGGCAGAAAGATGTCATTTGGAACCCATGGGAGTGGACTAAATTAGGGAGTGTGTGGAGTGTGAAGAGAAAGAGGTCTGGGACAGAACTCGAGGACCATGGGCATTTGATCTCAGGGGAGAAATCTCCTTCTGAGTTTGTGCTTGTCCGTCATCCACTCTGGTGATTTTAATTGACTCTCCAGGAAGCTGGAGCCAGGGAAGCCCCAGAGGCATGGATAGTTTCAAGCACAGGCTAACTAGTGCTGGATTTGTAGCAGCCTGGCAGAGCTATCACACACGCCATGCTGGATTGTAAACTGGCACTTAGCATGGGGCCCGGTGCCCATGGCACTCAGGGTGTGTGTGTTGAATGGATGAAGTACTTGGAAAGGATGGAGAAAGCCATTCAGATTTCAGAGGCTCCAGATCGTGAGCTATGATCATAGCGGGGTCTAAAACCCTTACTAGCCATGGTTAACACAGTAGCTTTGTGCATCATTTATAATTTTCCAAGAATAGTTCTGTTGTATTGTATTGAATATTTCTGTTGTGTTCTGTTGTATTGAAAAGTGGCAACAAGGGGTGGGAGCTGTACAAGATGTACTTATTGCAATATTGTGTGTAATAGTAAAAACCTAAAATCAAGTTAAATTTTCATGCATTGGAGAATGGACACACTATGGTATATATTCAAGCAGTGAAAAATATATCAGTTAAATGAATGAGCTAGGTCTACATGTATCAGTCTGGATAATCTCAAAAACTTAATATTGCATGAAAAAATTCAAGTCACAAATGGTTTGTAAACTATGATGTAATTTATTGAAGTTTTAAAAATCATATCAAATTATACTACATAGTCTTATATGAACACAAGTGTAAAATTCTGTAAGTGAAGGAACACACAAACTTCCAGGCAGTGGTTATGTAATCTCTGGAATGGAAGCAGGGTAATGGAGAGAGGAGTAGGACTTTAGCTTTATCTGTACAATTTTATTTTTTTTAAAAAAGCAGAAACAAACATAGTAAAATATTAATAGATATTAAATAAGCTGATAAAGTGGGGGAGAAATATTTTCTGTTCTTTTTATAATTAAAAATAAATACAAGCATGTATGAATTTTGCAATGCCCAGAGTGAGAATTAGACTTCCTCCCCTGACTCCAGGTTAAGCAGACGACATGTAAAACAATTACTAGGGTAAAACACACACACACACACACACACACACACACACACACACACACACACACATACATATACATACACACATATATGCATAACTTCAAATTAAAATAAGCTTTTAATTTTTTTTACTGGAAAAAAAAAACATGGGCTTTACTACATGTATCTTCAGTTTCTGAGAGATAGAACTTTTATGTTGTGGGCCCCTAACCCTTTTCTGAACCATGTGCTGACCGTACACTGGGTCTATGGGAGATAGGATCCATCCGTGTCTCCCGTCAGATGTTGACCCTGGAGTGGCTGGGGAGGTGGCGGGGAAGAGCAGAGGAAATCTCTGAGTGCTGGGGACTGCTCCAATGTAGGGCTGGAAAGACGTGCCCTGAAAGGCTACAGGAGAAGCCCTACAAAGCCTGTCGGGAAGTCGTGGAGCTAGCAGATGGGAGGCCGGGTTCAAATCCCAGCTCTCTCGCTAACCACACGTGATGATTGGGGAGTGTCTGCTTCCCCCTGGGCTTCCATCCAACAGGACTTCTGTTAGGCTTAGCGGATCTCTCGGGATCATTCCAGAGATGATGCTGGCTGACTTCTCTGTCCTCTTAATTTAAGGAGTTTGTCCTCCACCCCCCCCCTTCCTGTTCCAGAATAAGTGGGACTCCAGGGATTCTGGAAGGCTCCCTTGTTTGGTAAATTCTGCCCAACTTCCCTTAGCACCTCCTCCCTTTAGTGCCTGCTCATGTGAAAACCTTTCAGGGCACTGGGCTGTCCTCTGAGCTATCCTTTATGTGACTGGGGGATTCTGAGAAGGAATTAGGTAATGCAGTTACAGGGCTTGTCTGGGTAATGGAGAGACCAAGTAAAGACAAAGTTACCAAATGTGGAAAAAGAAAGTCGTATGAATTATTGCAGGGGCAGTTATTTTTCATCAACTTACTCATCTTCCTCTAACAGTTATGCAAGTATACTGAGTGCATGTGTGTGTGTGTGGGGGGGGGGGTTGAGGAAGAGCTGGAGTTGAGTTTTTAGCAAAGAGGAATATGTTTTGGGTAGCCTGGGGTCCACCTAGATGAATCACCTGTTTTACTTGCATAGATGGTATCTGCTCACATCATTGCCAGGAGTGATGCTGGCTAACCTTCAATAGTAACAGAATTTAATTTTAAACCTCCTGGGTTGTCCACTCTCTATGCATCTATCAGTTGAATTTTTAACAACTATTCTTTTTCATTTTTTTGTTTTGCTATACTTTTCATTAAAATAATGTACCTCTTGCATCATTAGGTGTTGGCTTTCTGAGCATTGCTTCACAGAGACTGAGATTAGGAACCCCTCACAGTGCAAAAAACAGGTACCTCTGCTCAGAAGATGGTTAGTGAAAAATGAAAATGGAATCTTTCTCAAGTTAGAATGTGAGATGGTAGAAAATTGGCTTAGTTTACACACCTTCTGGCTGCATATACCTTTTCAAGAAAGCATGTGTTGGTTTAAGCAAGGTTCATTTGTCCTACACAGTTAGTGTGCAACTCGAATGCCTGATGTTCCCTTATTCTCTAGCTTTGAGTCCTCAAAACCTGTCTCTGTTTTGACCACATACCATTTGGCTGGCTTCTTCCAATGCCCACTCCTCCCAAAGAATCTACTCACAGAAAGAGTTAAAGAGAAATTTAGACTTTACTGAACGTTTCACAGAGGAGACCTCACAGGAGGCGGATAGAGCACACTGCTCAGCAGATGATTTAACATGTTCCCTTAGCCGTCTGTGTTCTCCCCAGTCCCGCTCATTCATTCCACCACTGCTGATGTTTTCTTTTAAATCTTTTCTAGCCTCTCTCTGCAAACTTTTGCTGGATTGCTACTTTTCTTTTCTCTCTTCTTGGGAAAAATGAAAATCTTGCTCTGTTCTTTGGCATAGCGGTTAAGGGTCTGTCTTTTCTTACTGAAGCATAACCTCAGGGACTTACACTTCAACTCAAGTGGTTTGTCAAAGTCCTTCGACAAATAAAATGCTCCTCCAAAGATGATGCAGACGTGCCAAGTGTGACGTAGCTGGAGAAATCTCATGGCTACCCAAACCAGGAGAGGAGGCTGCCATTTCTCAGAAGTCCTTCGCCCCATTTTCGGGGTTATCTTTGTCTGTCAACAACTTTGTGGGGTCTTAAAAAGCCTCTGCCGAACTGGCTTTCTGAGAGACGTCTGAAGCAGGAGTGTATCACGCAGGGGATGGGAGCAGGTCTTCCCTGGATGAATGACCACATCACCTTGACGGTTGCGTGCTGATGGTTGAACTCACACTTTCTTGACATGAAGCGAAAACTGTTGCTGACTTACTGTCAGTCATAGCTGGAATAGAGTCAGGCCTGGTCACACGGTTTCTCAGGTACACAGGTGGCCTCTTGGATTCCGGATGGCCACTCTGACAGTTGTTTCCATTCCATCTCTCAGATCCTGCCATCCGTACCATCCTGCAAGGCGCCCTGTGTTCTGAGCCTGCTGAGATGACTGCCATGCAGCCAGATGCCACTACAGCCATCGGTTTTATATTGGTGCGGGGGCCCTTCTTCTGGTTGGGGGCTTCCAGAATTCTGCCTGGAATCTCAGCCCGCAGGTCTGGTCTTCTGAGATGGAAGAGACTTTGGAGAGATTCAAATCCAGTACTCTCATTCTTTAGACTTGGATCCTGAGTTCCGGGGAGGAGAAGGTGTAGTGAATTCTTATGATTTTATGTTGCCTTGGCATCCACTTTGAACACAAGTTTAACTTTCTCATTCCGGAAGCAGGGCCCAGTTGCCCTTGACACAGTTTCCAGTTGTACGTCACACCCCATGGCTCGAGCTTTTGGCCAGAGATAAGAACTCAGAGGCATCTCTCCATCCTGGCAGACCGGGCTCCCCAATTTCCTGTGGCTTCCTTTAAATGGACCATTCAGGCATTTGCCTGCAAACTTAGAGTGACTCACATCCTACATCCTTAAATGTGCTGCTAGTTGTCTCACTGTCTCTCTGCCTGACTCTTCATTCCTGCCTTGTGTGACCCGGGGAAGGAGGTCACAATATGTAATAGATCTTTGAAATTTTTTCCACTGAGGTGGAGTATTGAATTTGTGCCTTCCATCGGAAGGACCAGGGACTGCCCCAGGCTGGGTTTTCTCCGATGATACAAAGGGTTGGGGTGGGGGACAAAAGGGCAGGCTCCCAGTACCAGAGCGATGGTTGGGCAGGAATGAACTGGGCACAGGTTAGACAACAGCCACAAGGGCATCTGCCAGTACAAACAAGTTTCCTGCGTGAGGGACTCCCTGGTCTGGGGTTGGACAGCCAGGAATTAGGCCGTCCACCAGATAAAAGAAGTACCCTATGAATACCCACACCCTGCTCCTCTTCATCTCCTCTTAGGGAAGGGTTGCTAGCCGCTCTGGGACTGGAGCCCCAATTTAGCTGGGAGCTCTCAAAACAGAAGAAATGAATTAAGATCCTACAGTGAATTAGTGGTTGGGCTGGGGCATACATCCATCCCTTCCTTCTGCGTCCCCTCTGGGGCTCTCTCTACCATATTACATTGCTTCCCTGCCCTCTATCTGAAAGATAACTTCAGTCAAAACTCTCTTTTTAACCCTGGAGTTAAAAAGAGACAGAGGAGAAGTATACTATCTTTCCAAGAGACAGAAGAAGTATACTATTTAATACCCTTTGTGGTTTCAGTCTTGATCTAAAGTTTTCTTTTTGCCGAAGTGTTTGGATGGATGAAATACTGTATTATAGAGAGGTGTTTTCTTCCTGAAGCCCAAGAGAAACTGTTCAGTCCAAACTACTGTATAAGAAGATGGACAATACATTCTCAAGGGGAAAGGTGTCTGTGTCCACATAGTGGAATTTATCCACCTTGACTGATATGGTGGTGTTGACCTGCAGGTAATCCAGCAGGAATTGGGAGAGATTCTGGTATATGTTTTTGGTTTGCACTTCAGACTCGCACACTGTCACCACGGCCTGCTTTTTGGCCTCGCTGTTGATGAGAAGCTCCAACTTGAGGTCGACGGAATGATTAGGGCACTGCACGAGAAACTGCAGTTGGCAAATGATGAAGTACCAACCTGGGAACTGGATCACAAGATCCCCATCTTGATATCTGACTCCGTGGATAATCCCATCTTTGTTCCAGGACAACTTGGTTTGGTTTAGATGCTTTGACACTGGGAAGAGACATGTACAAACAAAATTATTGAGCAAATTGAAGGTACAGATTGGAAAACATTAAGTCTTGATGCCAAGTTCCCTATTCAAGACCTGGGTTTTCTATAATGGTGTCTGCTGTTCTAACCATCTGAATATCATCTGTGTTACTCCTTCTAGGGTCTACTTATTATTCAAGGCACATGTAGAAAGCCACCTCTCTTCCTTTTCTCTACTGCTCAAAGCTGGAGGGTCAGAACACACACGGTACTGTACTTTTACTTTCTCTAGAATAGTTTTCCACTTAATTATTATTCTATTCTATTCATATGTTATTATTATAATTATCTTTCCCTTTTTAGGCCATAAAAGCTCCTAGACTATATTCTCAACAAAGTCTGGACTATCATCTTCATTTATCGTGAATGAGCCTTTGGTGGAGACCACTGTTTTGTAGGCATTGCAGAATGTATCAGAGATAAGACATTCAATAATATTGTTCAATTAATAGCCAATTTAGGTATCAAGATATCCAGGAGAACCTTCATTAACTTTCACATTAAGATGTAACCTCTGTTCATTCCCTGAATTTTCGAATGTCTCTTTTCTCTAAAAGGGCAGCCAAACATAATTGTGTAGGATCCTCACGTGCACATTAAGGAACTCTTGCAATCTGGGATTTATAGAAAAGCAGAGAATTAGCAGACCCTCTCAGCCTACAGGCTCACGTCAGAGCCAAGTCTCTGGGTCCACGAGTGAAGACCAGCACTGCCTAGGAAGGCTGTCTCCAGAGCTGGGAAACCGGCATGCTAGTTTTAATTGCTTCTATGCTTTCACTTTAAGCCTCGTTGCAATTCAGTTGAAGAGTGAAAACTAATCTAACTGCAAAATTGAATTTTTAAAATGAGCAGAATGGCTATTTGGAGAATCCTGCCCATCTCCATCTCATTCTTTTGCAGCGTAAGTGCCTCTTATTGTTTCATTTATAAGGGACCTCTTACCTGAAGCATACTGCGATATGCAAATAGACCCTCTGCCAACATGTTCATTAAGCTGTCAATCTGGGGACAAGGCAATTTCTTGGTTCCCTTGTGAATAACTTCATAGAAGCAGAGATCAAGAGCCTGCCTCCCTTGCATTAGGAAAAGGGCTAAGCACTTGGCTGAAACTGGTAAATAGCTGAATGGGAAGAGGTGGTAATGTTGGCAGTGGTGGAAACACGAATACCCTCCAAAACCAAGTAGGCAGCCAAAGGGGTGAATAGGGCTGAAACGAATACCCTCCAAGGCCAAGTAGGCAGCCAAAGGGGTGAATAGGGCTGAGGAAAGAAGGGCCTTGTGGCTTTGAAGGGTATCACTCTCCTCTCTCCCCTCTAAGGCATACAGATTCAAATTATGAAAAATGTCCTTACAGGCTAAACAGAATATGTCTGTGGGTCACCTTTGGCCATGGGTCTCTGATTGTGACCACTGGCATAGACATTGCTGAAAGGTCACAAGAAGTAGCCCTTATGTGTTTAGGTTTCCTGGATTCAGTTACTGACCTTGGAGGTAGGCCCATGACTTCTTGAATGGAGCCCTTTTCAGGATACAGAAGAGGTCCTCTGAGCAATTTCCTAAATGTAAGGAGATCACATGTTAAATGTCTTCTGCTGTTCTGCCAACCGGAGGCACCAGATCTTTATCCATGACCTTTGATGGAGGCAATTACCATTCTGCTTCTATTTTGAGAATAAAAGGAAAACCTCTTTCTCATTTCGCCTTCAGGCATATTAGGATTTTGATGTTTTTTTAATTTATTTTTTATTGATTGCTTCCACTTAGGCTTTTATAGAAGACTGTGGCAGACAGGGAAGAAAACAAATATGACCTGAGTCCCTATATAATGTGCCAGGTGCCATTCATGTCACGTCACTTAATCTTTGCAGCAACTCCATGAGAGAGGTATTATTAAGTCCCTTTTACAGATGAGAAAGAACATGGGGACAAGACAGGTTAAATACATTGTCCCATGTCACTCAGCCAGGCCGTGGTAGTCAGCGTGATAATACTGATAGCGACTATTGCTATCCAACCTGCTGTGTACCAGATACTAGTCTGCGTACTCTTACCTATATCAACTAATCTAGTGCTCAGACTAACCCTGTAGGGTTAACCCTGATGCCTAGAGACGGCCAATGCCATCACTCAAGGTCAAGCATGTTTGTGGAAATGCTGGGGTTGCCTGTCTGTCTGATTTTAGAGGCCAGGTTTGTTCTTCTAGGCCATTTTGCTAGACGAGATAAAAACATCTTTGTGCTCAATTTTAAGAGGACATAAGATTAAAGATATCTTAGCAGGAGGCCTACTCCTTGGAGCTTCCTTGGCAGCAGCAAACACAACATTTATGTCATTATAGTATCCAAGAAATGAAAGTATTTTTCATATATTCATCAGTGTTGGTGGCTTAGTTTTTTCTTATTATAGAAACCATTCTGTATGCAAAGAACCAAGATATACATTTCCTGCAATGACTCATGAATTCAACTTATTTGGACCAAATACCTTCTCTTCTTTGAGCCTTGGTTTCCCTATCTATCTGGGAGATCTCTGACCTGAATGGATATTTTTTCATGATGTCACTAGAGGTGACCATTCAGTCCACCATGAGAGACCAGGCAGCCATAGGCCCCTTCAGTGGAGCACCCACACCCTGGCGTATTTGCTCAATGCATCTTCAAGTAAGATCTGCTGGGCTCACAACCTTCCCCATTGCCCTGTCTGCCCAGGCCTGAGAAAGTCCTTCTGGCCATCATCATAGCTCCATGGGGGAGCCTTGGAGTGGTTGAAAGTTAAGTGAAGAGTTCCCTCTGCTGTCTGAACAAGCTCACTACCAGAGGTGCCCCCAGCAGAAGCCTAGGAGAGTTTTCATCCTCATCTGCTCTCATCTGCAAAGAGGTTCTGGTCCAAAGCTCCCCCTGGTGGCGAGGGCTGGAGGGCCAGCTGCCATTCTCTTGAGTACATCCTCCCTCATCCTCCAAATGGGGTTGTGGTTCCGCCTGCTGCAGCCCACGGCCCACACTCTTAGGGTGGGCAGAGTCAGAAGCACAACACTGAGGGTTGCTTTTGCCCCTAATGGAATGTGACTACCATTAGGGTGTCCCCCTGGCCCAACTTCTTTGTATGGGCTGTAGAACCTCAAGTCCGGGAGACACATCTGGCTGACTCTCTTTGCTTGGAAGCCCTGTCTGACTCCCTTTGCCTGCAGGACCAGGTCCAAGCTGCATGGCATTCATGGTCGCTTGCATTCTGACACCTACTGAACTCTCTGGTCTCGTACCTTCCCTCCCTACCCTTTCTCTCTATTTCCCAATAGTAATAACAACAGAAGAAGTGAAAACAATATTAATAACTAATACACGTCAAGTGATGGCCCTTTTCTAGGTACTCTAAGCATGTTACATGTATTATTTTACTTAATTCTCACAACCCACCTCTGAGAGAGATACTATAATTATTTCTAGCCTGTACTCAAGGAAACTGAAGCTTTAAAAGATGAAGTGACTTGATTGCATTCACACAGCTAGTCAGTGGGGATTATTGATCATGCTCCTGGAGTTTGGGGCTGTGGTGTCCCCATACACCATGGTGATTTGTCATTCCACCTCAGCACCTGCTGTTCCCTCTACCTGGGATCCACAGGCTGGCGGTCATCTCCTCCAGGACCCCTGTGACCCTTCCCTTTGTTTATTCGCCTTCTCCATTAGATTATGAAGCCACAGGGCAGAGACTCCTGCTCATACACCCCCACTGCCCAGCCCAGAAGATGCTCTGTACATGTTTGTTGAATTGAATCATCTGGTCCCTCTCTCCTATTTCCCTCTGTGGATACCAGGGAAAGACTTAGGGTATGGGCGAGGTGAATGGGGATGCCTGGCTTGTCTTTTGCCTTGGGGCTGGAATAACAGGGGGCTCTTTCTCCCTTCGAAGGTCAGGTTAGATTAGATGGGAAGATAAGACTTATGCCCTGGGCTGAGTCCAGCGCATCAGGTGGAGAACAGGCTCTGCCCGTTGGCCGGAAGCCCCTCACACCAAGCCTCTCCCTGTCGCACCTACAGAAGGTGCGCTTCTGTAAACAGGTGGCTGTCGAAGTGCAAGCCCAGGCTTGCCTCTCACACATGCAGGTTCTTTTGTTGTTTTTCCCCTTTGGTCTTCACATGTTTAGTGGGGTGACCTCAGCTGTAATTCTGAGAAACCCGAGGATGGAAAAAAAAAAAAAAAAACACAACTTATTTTGAATCATTTGTATTTCCTGAAGTCAAATGGCATGGCATTTTAGTTTTTCTTAAAGAATCTTTAAGATGGTTTCATGCTAAAGAGAAAACACAGGTAGCACCTTTTAAGAAGGACGTTGCCAGAGCCAGTTCAGAGAACGGCTGGGAGCAGAACGCTGCAGGAGCTATAGAGGGGATGGGCTGTTGAACTTGGAGAAGACCCCAGAGGAGGGCACAAGCTCTGTCCTTTAACCTTGGGCCAGGCTGTCAGCAGGAAGGCAGTGCAGCCTGCTCTGTGGGGCCAAGTGCTAAGGCTCCGCGTGGCAGTGGAAGGAGGCGAAGCCCTCAGCTAACAGATAACACAGCTGTCATCCCTATTTCTCAGGTGCACCAATAGAATGGCCTACCTACAGTAAGGACACCCAACTCTCACTGTAAGTCACAGAGCTGGCAGCTCAAACATCTCACCAGTCTGTGCTGCTCACACATGGAGTAGGCTGCTTTGGAGGTCATGAGGCTCTTATCAAGAGCTAGATGAGCATTTTATGGGTTATCAGCCATGTGGCTTGGGTCTCCCCATCACCCTGTGAGTCTATGATATAACTTTCATTTTGCTTGTGAAGACAGAAAATGACTTATAAATAGATGGTGCCACATGCAGTGGAAATCTTGCAACGTCCCTGGAATTTTGAAGGCTGGGAGCATAATGTTCCTATTTCATTCATTTTTCATTTGAATGTGGAGTCTGGAGGGGTTTAATTTGAAGAATAGAACACCAAGGTGGGGGAAATGAGACTGTCTGCAAGTCGTGGCAGGGTTGATGGCTGGGAGTTCGAATCCAGGGATTTCCCCTTTCTGGGTTCTAGTGTCCCTATCTAGATAAACAGCAGTGTGGACGTCATGATCTAGAAGGGCCCTTCTAGCTTTTTCTAGCAGGCTGTGCAGACTCAGCTGTTCACGCCTGACCTGCTCGGGGAGCTGGGAGAGTGAGTCCCAGCTGCAACTGTCTGTCTTTGTGGCATGTTGCCCACAAAGTAGGAGACTGTGTGTTTACGCATTCAGATTTCCAGACACATGCAGTGGTAGAGCAGAATATTTTAGCTCTAGGCACGATCTAAGTTATGAATAGTCTGGTTCTGAAGGAATTTGCATGGTTTTTAGGAATGGAAGTTCCCTGAGAGATCACCTGGTTCAGGTTTGGTAAACATATAACTCATGTGCTCCCCAATGTTACCCCTAAGGCAGGCCGCTCCTAGGTCACCCCTTGAGTTAGTGGCAGAGGCAGGACCAGAGGGAGCCGGGCTCCATACTGCTGCTGTGGGGCATCTTTCTATCTTCCAGACAACTCCAGCACTCCATGAATTCCTCTGAGGACTGAAGCATGAGGACTGAAACCTCATATGCATGAGGTTTGTAAATTGTCTTTCCAAGCTTTGGCCTCTTCTTGAAGGATCATGGACCTGTCTTTGGCTTTGTTTGGAAGGCTGAAGAGTAAGATGTGCCAGTGAAGCAGTTGCACAGAAGAGAGAGAGGGAGAAAGAGAGATTGCCCAGGGTGGTTAAAAGGACTATGTTCTGCAAGGTCAGGATTATAGCAACCTTAAGACTAGCCCTCACCTTGAGATTTCAGAAAGCTGGACTGAAAGGGCCATTAAACACCACGATAACAGAGATCCCGGTTGTCAGTGGGAAAATGGAACCCAGAGAGACTGGGACTCTGGTCCCACGTCCCGCAGGAGATAAGCGGCAGAGCTGGGTTTAGACCGCAGGGCTCCTGAGTCCCAATCCAAGGCCCTGTCCCTGGCTTTCAGTCTTCCCACGGAGCAGGGAGGGTTAAATGCAGGAAGAAGTGGGTTTGCAGCCACGGCAGACAGAGACAGCTGGAGGTGCTGGGAAAACAAGCACTAATGAGCCTCCGGAATCTGTCTTGTGGGAGGAAGCCAGCAGATGACTTCAGGCCCTTGTGCTGAGTTCTGCCAAGTCACAAGTCAGGGGCAAATGGGATTTCATAAAGATGCAACAACGTTCAAGGCGGCTCCACCGTGGCAAAACAAACCACGCCGATCATTCCTGCCAGGTGGTATGTGGTTTGAGTGCCAGATAATCTTCCAGTTCTACAGCGCCTTTGGCATAAGAACAAGGCAGACACGAGGCTTCTCAAAAAGAGCAGCTGGGTTTGGTCAAGGCTTTTAGCTTTGGACCTGTCACTTCCCCTTACTAAGCCTCAGTTATTCCATCTGCAGAGTGAGAGTTGTAACCATCAACCCAAGGGTATGGATGTTGTGAAGATGCAATCAGATCATGGATGTCCAGGGACCAGCACGTGGCTAGAAGAGACATTCAGCAAATGGTAGTTTCTTTCTC